TATAGTTATATCAACACTCGTGGAAGTTTGGAAAACTCGAAATTGTGTGAAAACACTCCGCCCTTCGGGCGTCGTGTTTCCACACAATTTCTCGTTTTCCCAATTTCCACTCGTGTTGATATAACTGTATATCAACACGGAAAATGTTTTATATTTGTTAAATATATATATATATATATATATGTATATATATATATATATATATATATATATATATATATATATATATATATATATATATATATATATATATATATATATATATATATATACTGGATCCAGAAAAGTTTGACCTTCGAATATATATATATGTCGGCTATTTTGAATTTTCTCGGGTTAATTATACGCGAACGCATACATCAAATGTCGCTCGCAACGTACTGTATATTGCAATATTCCAACAGCTCAAATAAGTAGAGGATCATTGCTTGAAGTTCTTACACATATTTGTAGTAGCTATCTAATGAACATTTGAGGGTTGTTAGCTAATTAACTCTTGTCACAATTTCGAACCTGATCGTTTTGGCATGTCGTAATTTATTCTTTTGCATCCTTTGAGATTTAGACGCTTATGAGCATGCCTCGATGAATTTCTTTGTTTATTCTTTCGTATTCACTTGTGCTTATTTTATAGCTGTAACCTACGTCCAGAATTATTATATTAAAGAGTTTGGCAACCTAGAACGGCAACAACAACTGCAACGGGGAAAATATAATTGCTTATATTGTTGTATTTGAGCCAAAGTATACGTTACTACACTTAATTTGCCTCATTAAGTATTCCTGTTTCTTTCAAACGTACCCTTAAATAAAAATAGTTCGCGAATTCAATAAAACTCTCAAATAACATCGAACGAATGAATTGTTGCCGTAGTCATGCACCGTGAAAATGATGCAAATCACGTATTAGTTTCAACAACTACGGCATTGCACAACGCTTAAGACCATGTACAGTAATTTACATTCGCCTTTGTCTTTGAGGATTAATGCTATTGTTAATGACCACATTGCCGTTGCGGTTGCCCTTGTATTTGCCGAACTCTCTATTATATTTTGCCAACGGAAATTTTAACGGAATCGATAGTCATTCGATATTTCATCCCCTGAAACTCAGCACACGCAGCATTCGTGACCTGGCGAAGCAGAAACGTTCATTTCCTACTAGCCATTATGTTCAT